AAAAAAAAAACAACGCAAATTTTCTATTTTTTTTTTTGCGATTTTTTTTTAAAAAAAATTTTCAATAAAAAATGGGTCTGGTTCACATTACCGACAATCATCATTTGTAATAAAATAAAGTAATGTGGAAAATAATAATTTATTTATTTGTTATTGTTTATTTATTATTGTTTTAAAATAAAACTTTTATTAGTTTATTATTTATTATTAATTGAAATAATATACAGTAAATTATTATATTCAATTAACATTTTGAAAATATTCTAGAATGCATTACAAAAAAAAAGCAAATTATATAAACAAAATTAAGAAAAATTATTAAGAACAATTTTAAGTACAAATATATTATGAAGCTGAAATAAATTTTTTTTTTTAAAAAAAATAAAATTGATAAAATTAAAATATTAAATTCCAAAGTTATTTTTTTTATATCTAAATATCATAGTATTTCACATTTTTTGTTATACATTAATCAATTTTTTATTTTTATATATATTATTGGTTAATTCTTTTATATTAAATATGTATTTTAATTTTCATAATAGTAAATGTTGATGGTAAAATGAGTGTTGGTAAAATGGACCTGTCTATTGTCGGTAATGTGAAGGGGTCCCCGAATGGAATAAAGGGGGAATTTAAGTATGCGGAAAAGAAATTCATGAACAAACTATACATTTTATTAGATCAAAATCTCGTTATATAAATCATAATCACAAAATCCCAACACTTATCATTCCAACACTTATTATCCCAATATACTCATTATTCCGATACTCATTATCCCGATACTCATTATCCCGATACTCATTATCCCAATAATTATCCCCAACATTCATTATCACAATACTCATTATCTCAATATATTATCGCAAAATATTATAATAATCATTTTAATTTTTTGTGAAGTATTAAATTGTTGTGATAAAAACTTAAAATATTAGTTTCGGGTTTTTGATTTTTAGGATTATGATTGTTGAACGTCTGATCTGCGGGAATTTTTAATTCAGGATTTTGTTGATCGGGGTTTTGAAGTTTGAACATCAGGGAATTTAGGATCGGTCTGATAGTTGATAGCTATAAACAAACGGAAAATCTAATAAAGTGATTCAAATTATTAATTTGCGTGATAGAGGAATAATAACGTTATATGATTATGACGGAATCTTGGTGAAAATATATTAAGAATCGATCATATTCTTTGAACAACTAATGTTATTCCGAACTAAAGTAAAGTGCGGGCCAAACTCAATTTTGGCCGAAATTATAAAAGTGTCAGCTGAAGATAATATGTCACGTGATCTAAAATAAAGTTGTGCGTTAAAATTACATACTACAATTTGTTCTTTTTAAAAAAAGTTGTATTTGATTGTTTATAATATTCTTACTTTATTAAACAAACGATTCAATTGAACGCACTTGAAACTTTTTTCATAATTACCAGGAAAAGTATCGAACTAAGAAACTTTGTTAAGTTACTATTATTTAATTTGTATGGTTTAAATAAAAATTATTTATTTTGTTATTTTAAGCAATAACACATTAAAGTTTGGACTGTCACTCGCTCATGTGTTAATATAACTTAAAATCATTACTCATATGATCGATGCCGTGCAAATACATAATTATGACGTGAGGAATTTTGATATTTGTGTACAAACTTTAAGATATTGTTACGTTTCATAAATTGTCACACTGTTACGATTGTTACGATTGAACCCTTGTGATCGTATGATTAAATTTATTACAGATTGTTTAGATATATTATTACAAATACGATAATACAACGTTGTAACGCATGTTTCAACTAATACACAAAGTTAATTTTCTTTAATCATACGTTAAAAAAAAAAATGCTATTGTATTATTATAATATGATAATACAACGTTGTAACATACGTTGTATCATTGCGCAGATATTAGATATACAACCCCCAACTATACATGAATTTAAATGATTTCAACCATGAAATTTTAATGCAAAATAAAAATACAATACTGTATGTTACAAAAGTTTGTAATATCAGATAAGCTAACTAATGATAAAAATCTAATATATATAATAATAATGAAAATAATAATTATGGCGGTTAATCTAATAAAAAAGAAAAAACTTCCAATTAAATCCTTTCTTTAATATTAATTTCAAGGTTCTTGGGTCTAAATAGAAATGCGTTACTGAGGACTAATTCATCTTTATGTATCGAGTTTTTTGGTAAACTCCATTCATATTTTAGCACTACAATAATTAAACAATATATGTTATTAATGATAATTACATAATAATTTCATTTTATAAAATCGATTTTTTAGAATACTTACAAAACATTGCAATTATAATTCTTTGTTCCATTATAGAGAAGTTTTGACCGACGCTATAAAAAAAAATATATACGCACGTATTATAAATATCAACTACATAAGGAAGAAGTAAACACATTTAATTTTAAAACCTACCAATTTCTTGGTCCGACGCTAAATGGAATATAAGAATATTGATTGCTTCTCTTTTCATTCGTTAGCCACCTTTCTGGATCAAATGTATAAGCGTTATCCCAATATTTAGGATCATGGTGGACTGCGAAATTCGATACTCGTATTATGGAGTTTTCTGGAAGCACATATTCGCCAAATTGTGTAGGCTTCAGCAGTTGCCTATAGGTCATTGGGGCAGGATATCTACGTAAACTTTCTTTTATAACAGCGTTTAAGTATTTCATTTCCTACAAGTTAAGAAGATTTCTCGTAAGCTTTTATAAATTAATTAAAAAGAAAAAAAGTCATTCGTTGATTTTATACCTTTAGCTGATCGGCCGTCGGTATTTTCAATTCGTTGCCGATTATACTAATTACTTCCTCTCTTGCTCTCTTTTGCATATGCTATTTATATATATATATATTTTTTAAAAAAAGTCAATTTAGAAAAAAGAAAGCGATGATTTAATTAAATGGCAATACTTACTGGATATTTTGCGAGATAATAAATTGACGAACTCACTGACATCGAAGTAGCTAAAATAAATAAATATTGAGTAAGAAATATTATTATAAACAGAAATAAGAATCATAAATAATACTTACTATCGTTGCCAGCACTGAAAAAATTAATTATATTATCCCTCAAATCCTTGGTTCCAATATTAAGATTTTCTTGTTCACTTGCTTCCAACATACTAATCAATAATTCTTCATTATTACATTTTTTCTTTTCATTTAATTTTTTACGTTTGGCAAGTTCGATTCTTTTAAGGTCGATAATTTCAAATACAAATTTATCAAAATCTTTTACGGCGGAATTAAATATTTTATTTTTTCTAGTTGGTAATTTGTTCAAGAATGGGAATATGTATAATATATATGACTCAACATTTGTCATAATAATTTTATATTTACGGACGATATCTGGTAATTCCTTGGACTTTAAAGTCTAAAAGAAAAAGAAAAAAGAAAAAAATATAAAGAATATTAAAAATTTTATGAAATAGAAAAAAATGATGATTGATAAAAAGTTTTTTTTTTTCTTACCCCAAATGAATAACCAAAAGCAACCTGACCTAAAACTTCGGTTGTTATACGTTGCAAAAGTTCATAAATATCCACTGGTTGATGAATTTCTTTTCGTAAATATTTAAATGATTCCAATACAACATCCCCCATGACTTTGGGGGATAATGCACGATTAAATGCCGGATTAGATAATTTTCTATGGGTACGCCATTGCTGATTGATTGATGCTGTGTAAGTAATCATCACATGGAGACGTTTCACGTAATTGATGACGTAATCAATAAAAATTTACCTCTCCGTTTGAGAATACAATTCCTGTTCCATAAAATTTAAGAACAGGTAATTCGCTACTAAATTTGTATTTTGGAACAACATCCTCTGTTTATTTATTTATTTATTTATTATTATTTTTTTTTTTTTTTAAAAAAAAAAAAGGAAAAAAAAAAAATATTTATTAAAAAATTTATGTAACCTTTTTTCTACATAATTACGTCTCACGTTTTATCGTAAAATGCTTACCTGATTCAGTTAATAATTTTCTTGCAAAATCGGCACTTACGATAGTATAATAATCATTTGGCCCTAAACGAGCCTATATATTAAAAAAAAGAATAGTATTTTTTTGTCGTTTTAAATCAAAAGGTTTTCAAAAAAATTCATTTAATAATTAAAAAAAATACCTTATAAATTCCTGATTGATAATATTCATCAGGTATAGTTTCTAAAACCTCAACATGAGGTCCAGTTAATATGGACCATGCTACAGGAAGAAATGGAATTTTTGGAACTTCTTTACCGAGAAAATTATTGTGTTTTCTATTATAATTCTTTTGAATTATATAAATGAAAATTATTAAAAACCCTAAAAACATCCACATGATTGATTATTTTTTATTATTTATTTATTGGGAGAGAAAAAATATTTTTTTTTTTTTTGGGGGGTTTTTATTTTTTATAACCTTTTTTAATCGCCTTTTATAAATAATTTTTTTTTTTTTTTTTATAGTTTCACATAAAATTTTTATAGTAATTACTTTAAGTAATTTTAATTTTTTTATATGTATATAATAAATGAATGAAAATTAAAGTTTTATATTAAAAACAAAATAAATAAATAAAGAGAACTGATGTAGGTTCAAATTTTTGATTGACCTGTCAGGAGATATTGAATTAAATAAGGCTAAACTAAAATTTACAGTGGATAAAATTTTTTCAATTAACCTTATCTAAAAAAAAAAAGAAAAAAAAAAAGAAAAAATTTCGAGCGGCGAATTTATTTCATTTTATTAATGTTCATAATAAAATCATTTGTTTGATGCCATTTTATCGTTTCACTAATTCATTGTCTTTCTTTATACGCGAAATTGATTGGATTGTACGTGTTTGCAAAAAAAAAATTAAACAGTTTCACAGTTTATACAGTTAATACTTATTTCATGACGATGAAAGATCGTGAAAACTGAAAGTGGTACAATAATGATAAACAAATATAAAAGGAAATGAGGTGGAATTCTAAAATAAGAAAAATAAGGGGAATAATTAAAATACCACGTGCTTTAATTTAAAAGAAAATAATAATTAATTTTTTTTTTAGCCCGAGTAACTTTGGCCCAAAAATACCATTGTGGGGCAGATTATAGATGGAAACAAATTTTATTAATAATCTAAAAGATATAGTGAATGAAAAATTTCATACAATGGACGTTCTTACCGAAAAACGAGATTTTTTTTTCGTTCACAATATTATTTTCAAACAATATTAAAAGATAAGACGTAAATATTGACTTATAAAGGTTAGTTCATTTAAACAAGGTTAAGTTTAGGTTTAAAAAGAAATTCCACTATTTTTCTCGGCTAATACCTTTTCTTTTTATTGTTTAATCTTTACTAAATATAAGATTATAGAAAACTATAGAAGCGAGGGTTATAATCATGGTAATTGGTTTATTAAATATTATCGGAGTTAAATCCGATGTATCAGTAAATAATTTTTAATAATATTAAAAAAACCAAGATATCATAAGGAGGGATACAAAATAATGACCCCAGTGTATCCCAAACATTATCCAGATTTGGTTCTAGTCCCAAACTCTAGGTATATAATGTATCACAATATTTTAAATTAGTTAGATTCTCGGTAATGATTATTTTGACTACTCAGAACGCTCATTAGCTTAACAGATTTTTTTTTTCGGATATTAACGGATTTGATGCTTATCAAATTGTAACCCATTTGATATCAACTTAAAAAGTATTTATTTATTTATTATATTTTATGATTAGATACAAATATAATCTTTTTTTATCAGTTATTAAAAAAAAAAATCGTATAATTACAATAATATACGATCAAAAAAGTATTGTATAAATTCCCAAAAATATATTAAATATTAATTACTTTTAACTATAATAAATAAAAAAATTTTAAAACACAATTTCAAAAAAAAAAGACCGGTATGACAATCAGAATCTTCGAATTATATTGTTCTATTTAAAGTTTTATAATTTTTAATTTTTTTTTTTTTTTTTTTTTTTTTTTATATTATACTTATATAAATTTTTTTGTAAAAGGAAATTAGGGATTTTAAAACAATTTTATCAAAATAATAAAATGTATGTTCATTTAATAAAACGAAACATTGGAATTGTCTCTTTTGTTAAATGTTTCATTAATTCTATAAATGTAATTTATATAAGATAATAAAATTTTCAAACAAATAAATTTAAAATGAATTGTAATAACTTGGAAATTATAAATAATCACATTTTTTTTTTATAAATAAAAATTTTGTGCAGAAAATAATAAATAAAATTTTTTGTGCAGAATATTTTAATAAATTCAGGATATATTAAAAAAAAAAAAATTTTTGTAGATCTCTCAAAAAGAACTTCGCGCCAATCATTTATTATTTAACATAATAATAAAAATCATTCAAATTACGTTACGAAAAACAGAACTTTAAATTTTAAATCGCTTTCCTTATCAAATTGACATGAATCGTGTGTTAATTGTCAATAAATTGATTAAATTTTAAAAAGAATTTCCAAAATTGTGTATGCGTTACGTAAAATGGCGTTCAATTTGGTTTTTGTGATCCATTACTTTCATTACTTTCATTAACTTTCATTACTTTCATTACTTTATTAACTTTTAACTTTTTCAAATAATTCAATATTTCAAATTCGACAAGGTCTGGACTTTTGGGAGATGAATAATAAAAATTTCAATATTTCTTTATCACTTCTTTATTCATTAAATTCAAATTGTTTCATTTTTGAATTCGTTATATTTTGTTATATTTTGATGTGGCTGAATAATCATTTTACCTTTTTTTGTTAAGACTTTTTAAATTCTTTATAAATTACATAAAAAAATTATTAATAATTTATTTATTTACAAAAAAAAACATGAAAAACACAAACAACGTTTATATAATATTCATTTTCATAACATTCTTTATTGTTAATAAAATTATTATTAACAAATCTGGAAACCCATTTTAAAATTATTCAAGTATTTTTGTGTACAGGTGTAAAAATGTGTAATCATTAATCGTTAATCGTCAATTGTTACCGAAGATCAAAGTTGATAAATAAAAAACCAAATTTGGAGGATAGGCATAAAGGAGAATATGTTTGTATTTTTATTTGTTTATTGTTGTTTATCCGTTCTTTTCATAATAAGATTGGTTCTTCATAATTTTTTTTCTATATGCCATTTTAGCGTTACATGTGCTTATTGTGTTCGTTTATTTTCGTTATTACGTTCTTTATGTTACCATACGCGAAAACTTTGCGTTGCATTTTAATTAAAAGCATTCCTTTATTTATCTTTATTTAATTTAGAAAATTCTATCTTTCATAAATAAATTTCTGTTATCTTTGTTATACAGTATATGGTGTGAGTTATACAGTATACGGTGTAAACAGTATATGGTGTGAACAGTATATGGTGTGAACAGTATATGGTGCTCACTTTCGTTAGAGTACCTTATTGACTGTATCACCCATCACTAAATCTCAATGCATGTCAAGAGTAATTTTTACAGGGAGGTAATTAGGGCAAGAAAAATTTTTTTGAATGTCTCCGTTAAAATTTACAATTCTTTTTTAACTAATAACGATAACAATTTTTTTTTTTAAAAAAATGAAATACATTTCATTTATTAAATACAATAGAAAATTTGGTTAATAGGCGTAAATAATTTAGTCATAATAAATTTAATAAAGAGCAATTCCTTATTCAAACCAACTTCATGCTTTGAAATAAAAAAATACGTCCCATAAAACAACGCGGAACTCGATGGGTAAGTAGATCACGATTTAATGTTATTTGTATATTAATTATGCACAGGCAGTCGGACTCGTTCGTTTCATTAGAAAAATCAGATATAATCAAGAAATCCGATATATCGATTATTGTATTATAATAATCCGTTCCAGACTCTGGTAATTGAAGGTTCCAGTTTATCGAACGGTTTATCGAAGGTTCAACGATTTATCGAAGGTTCAACGATTTATCGAAGGTACAACGATTTATCGAAGGTACAACGATTTATCGAAGGTACAACGATTTATCGAAGGTACAACGGTTTATCGAAGGTACAACGATTTATCGAAGGTACAACGGTTTATCGAAGGTTCAACGTTTTATCGAAGGTACAACGGTTTATCGAAGGTACAACGGTTTATCGAAGGTTCAACGTTTTATCGAAGGTTCAACGTTTTATCGAAGGTTCCGTTTATCGAAGGTTCCGCAATAATGTTGGAATAATTAATTGTAAGGGATTAAGACTTGATATGATTTATTTCTTTTTTTGCTTATAACATATTTAAATAATAATAGAAATTTTTATCATCGTGCTATTTTTAAGTTAGGCGATCTTTATTTTTCAAAATTTGAGAGATTGGGAACAACTTTTTGTGACTTTTCTTATGAATATTTTTATTTTTATATCATTAGAAACATCTCAATTAAAGCTCTATTTTTGATATAATTTCACCTTAATTTTAAACATACAGTAAGTTACAAATAAATTTTTCTTATAATATTATATCACTTTAATAATAGAATTTTAAAATATAAATTTTTGAAATTCCACGTAACGTTTATTATTACGTTTATTATATCGATATTTATAATTTTTTCATTTCCATAATAGTTTTTACGATTTTTAATTAATATTTATACAATAACTCAAAATATATATTATAAACTTTTAATCTCATCTTTTAATAAGTTCAGTGCGGTGAAGACCAGAATTTATTTTTCTCGATGTTTTGTATTAACTATTCAATCGAAATTCGTAACTTAGGAAAATCAAAATATAAAATTATTTATCAAAAGTAAAAAAAATCAATAAAATTTGACCCGACCATCCGGGAAAAACTTCTTTTTTTTAAAAAAAAAAAAAATTTATTGTCCGGGTCACCGGATAAAAATGAAATTTCATCGCATAACCAAAAAATTACGATTGTTTAAAGTTTGTGCTGCATAAGTTACATATGAACATCAATTTACTGGTTTATTAATTAAAGTAAAATCAACCAATAAACTGTGAAATAATGTTATAGTGTAACTATTCGGTTATTTATGGCTATTTATATCATAAAACGATTAGATTATATTAAACATATTAAACATATATAATCTCGTAATTAATTAAGTAAATACAGGAAAGTTATTATTTTACTTAATTATATATATACAGCCGGATATCGAATGGATAAATAATAAATTTATTTTGTTGGTTTGATTTGCATGTGGGATTTCTTAATAATTTATCTGATCTTCCAACTATAGTAGTTCTAGTTTTGGTAATTTACATTTATAGTAAGACGTCCTAATTCTTAATTTTTTTCTGAAGCTTTCGTTCGTTTTATGTATCCGATAAATAAAAAGT